AGTCTTAGCAGCCATTTTGTTTAGTGTACAGAAAATTGTGGCGATGACATTCTCTTTTCCCAACTTTCTTGATTTTTAAGTTAAGATAGACCTAGAAAAGCGGGAATCCTGGTCTTTGATTCCTGAGACGTCCCTGTTTCATGTGAAGATACAGCTTCAAGCCTTGGAAAATGCCTCCAAGGTCTTAAAAATGGGGAATCTGTGGACTGAGAGTCAAGCTTTGAGCAAGTCAGGTTTTACAAGGGACCGGTATGTTCCAGCAGCAGCCCGAGTTGTGTGGCCACGCTGGGCATTTTTTCCACTCTGAGTGCTGACTGAGCTGACTCACTCACACTCCTCGCCTAGAGTTGGCAGCAGGTGTGGTTTATGGCATGTCCTTTCATTCTGAGCCCCGTGAAATACGGGCAAAGAGATTTCCGAGTCTGTGAGAGCCCCTCTGCCTCCCCAGCTCAGTCCCCACTTCCTCCGCAGACCCACTCCTTGCCAGTTGTGGTGATCTCCAACATCTGTCAGATGCCAAATGCCTGGGCGTCCATCCTGTGGTACAACATGCTGACCAACAACCCCAAGGTTAGTACCCCCTCCTTTTAGTTGGTACCCCGGGATCTCTTGCGATGTATGGGTACCTAGTACAGACAATGAGCACCATCCCTCATCTAAACAAGCAAATGTGTTCTTTCCAATAGAACGTAAACTTTTTTACCAAGCCCCCAATCGGAACCTGGGATCAAGTGGCCGAGGTCCTGAGCTGGCAGTTCTCCTCCACCACTAAGCGAGGACTGAGCATCGAGCAGCTGACTACACTGGCGGAGAAACTCTTGGGTCTGCGTTTCACCCCTTCTCCCTCCCGCCCGCTCAGAAAAGGGATCCGGCCCACAGGGCTGTTCATTTGGGTCATGTCTACTGAGCGTTAGGCCATGTTTCTTTCCTGAGCAAGGTGCTGTGCTGGTGCCAGGAAACAGGGGCTCCATCGAGTTGGGGAGTTGGGGTGCAGAGACAGTTTGCAGTTTTCAGTCGAGGTGATCATTTTTGAGGTGGGAGGTGGATTTCTTTTCTCCTGGTTGCTGTCTCATTCACCCACTCCAACTAACCTTAGAAGATCTTTTAAATGTGTGTTGGAAGGTGGCGCTGAAGGCTTGACATTCCCTGTCCATTTCTTTAATAAACTACAGGCTAGGTTTTTTTGTTTTGTTTTGTTTTGTTTTGTTTTTGAGAGACAAGTCTTGCTCTGTTGCCCAGGCTGGAGTGCAGTGGTGCGATCTCGGCCCACTGCAACCTCTGCCTCCCCTGGGTTCAAGCAATTCTCCTGCCTCAGCCTCCCAAGTAGCTGAGACTACAGGCACCCACCACCACGCCAAGCTAATTTTTGTATTTTTAGTAGAGATGGGGTTTTACCATGTTGGCCAGGATGATCTCCATCTCTTCACCTCGTGATCCGCCCACCTCGGCCTCCCAAATTGCTGGGATTACAGGCGTGAGCCGCCATGCCCGGCCTAGGCTAGGTTTTTAAAAAATAATTAGTGGAGGCCGGGCGTGGTGGCTCACACCTGTAATCCCAGCACTTTGGGAGGCCAAGGTGGGTGGATCATGAGGTCAGGAGATCGAGACCATCCTGGCTAACACAGTGAAACCCCGTCTCTACTAAAAATACAAAAATTAGCCAGGCGTGGTGGCGAGTGCCTGTAGTCCCAGCTACTCAGGAGGCTAAGGCAGGAAAATGGCGAGAACCCGAGAAGTGGAGCTTGCAGTGAGCCGAGATTGCACCACTGCACTCCAGGGTGGGCGACAGAGCGAGATTCCGTCTCAAAAAAAAGAAAAAAAAAAAGAATTAGTGGAATATTTTATGTGCTACCTGGGCTAGAAGTAGCTTTGTCCTAATAAAGCTGTTGCCACCAAATACACCTGTCTGACACCTGATGTCAGCTTGTTAGTGCTGCTGCTGGTCCCCAGCCCGCCACCCGAGGCTGGGAAGAGCAGGGGGACTTGTTACATCACCCCCTATCCGTGCTGGGCTACCCAACAACAAAAGTGGGTCAAATGATGGGGTAGCGTTTGTCCTCATGTGTGCACACACACAACGGTGGCCACGTTCAAAGATGTGAAAGCCAATGATTTTGTGGCCCATTGTGGGACCAATGTGTGTGTGTGTTCTGCTTTAAGAAATAACCTCTTGACCCCAAGCGGAAAATGTACTAGTTGATTCTTTTTCTTTTCCTTCAGGACCCGGCGTGAATTATTCAGGGTGTCAGATCACATGGGCTAAATTTTGCAAAGTAAGCAATCTTGTAAAATTCTCGTGGGAATGGGAATGCCTACCTGCACGGCTGTCTGGCTTGAAGGCCCTGAACTCTTGGTCCAGCAGCCAGTAGGACCTGCCTGAGGGTAGACGGGCCTGAGGAGTTGGGTGGTGCACTGTGCCCCTAGGAAGGGAAAGGCTGGGATGGCAGCAGACTTGGCTTTCCCATTACTCTTTTCTGCAGGAAAACATGGCTGGCAAGGGCTTCTCCTTCTGGGTCTGGCTGGACAATATCATTGACCTTGTGAAAAAGTACATCCTGGCCCTTTGGAATGAAGGGTAGGTTGGACAGAGTGTGCACAGAGGTAACCAAGTCCCCTGCTCTCAGCAAGCCAGTGGCAGGGGATGGATGCCCTGTTAGCAGTAACAACACTGTTCCTCCTCCTTGGCTCCAGGTACATCATGGGCTTTATCAGTAAGGAGCGGGAGCGGGCCATCTTGAGCACCAAGCCTCCAGGCACCTTTCTGCTAAGATTCAGTGAAAGCAGCAAAGAAGGCGGCGTCACTTTCACTTGGGTGGAGAAGGACATCAGCGGTAAGGGAGGCTCCCACCCACCCCACCTGCTGGCGGCTGCTGAGGCCTCATCACCGCTGCTAGTTCCAAGCACCTACTGCCCCCTTGTGGTTGGAGATGGCCCCGACTCCCTGCCTCACTCAGACTTGCAAAACACATTTGGGTGACTTCTGAATCCTTCTAGCTGAAGGATTGATTTGTCTTTGTTTTGCTTGCTCCAGTGACTATTTGTTGAGAAATTTGCAATTTAAGTTGTATTCTTCATCCCTTTTTCTACTTAGTCCTGTTAATATATCTTACACAAGTAGTTACATTCAAGTTTATTTTCTATGACCCAACTGGTAGCCTCTTCTAAATTAGAAGCCAGCCTGAACATTTCTACCGTGCCAGGCCACTCACTGAACAGGGTGTTCAGGGTCTCAACACTAGGGTGGCTTAAGTTTTTTCCCCTTCGAGGAAAGAAAAAATGGGCAGTTTTCTCTGAGATGACCTAGCTGTAGGTTCCATGATCTTTCCTTCCCATGTCCCGTGACAGGTAAGACCCAGATCCAGTCCGTGGAACCATACACCAAGCAGCAGTTGAACAACATGTCATTTGCTGAAATTATCATGGGCTATAAGATCATGGATGCTACCAATATTCTGGTGTCTCCGCTGGTCTATCTCTACCCTGACATTCCCAAGGAGGAGGCATTCGGAAAGTATTGTCGGCCAGAGAGCCAGGAGCATCCTGAAGCTGACCCAGGTAGTTGTTGATTTTCCATGTTCCTGGCATTTAATTTTTGAGAAAAGTTAGAAATTTGGGGATCCTTAGAGGATAGATAGGCAAATGCCTGAATAACCTGGGGGATCATTATTTCTCCTTATGGGAAAGAACTGTAGTGAGTGCTTTTGTTGGGGTGACCGATGGGATTTGAGAGGAGAATCAGAATCAGTTAGACTAGTGCAGTTCCTGCTCCACAGAGAGTGCCTGAGTCTAAAGAGGGGATACAGCTTGGACAACAAAAAATACAAAAAAATTACCCGGTGTGGTGGCGCGCATCTGTAGTCATAGCTACTTGGGAGGCTGAGGTGGGAGGATCACTTGAGCCGAGGAGTTCAAGGCTGTAGTGAGCGGCGATCGTGCCACTGCACTCCAGCCTGGCTGATAGAGTGAGACACTGTGTCAAAAAATACAAATAAAGAGGGGATTAATATACATACGTCCCCCGAAACATGCCAAAAACACGAGAAGAGAAAGTGAGGGCAGTTAACAGGATGCTCAGCTGTCACAGTGCTTCTTAGTCGATGCTAGAAGGTTTGAGGCCCAGATTTCAGCCCAGCCTATGGCTTTTTGCCTGTCACTGAACCATGTCAGTGTGCCAGGTGGTCTGAAGAAAGGGTTTCTGGAGGAAATTATTATTAGCCGCATGGGAGTATGGTTTACACCAGAGTAGAAGAGCTGGGAGCATCATGTTTGAAGAGGAAGACAGTGACTGGGTGGAGGGGCAAGGGATTGGTATTTAGAATGTGCAACTATTGAAAATAAGGTATTTTTTAATGTGTAAGAGGATATGTATTTATATGTTACGTATAAATTATTTTAGCTGGGCACAGTGGCTCATGCCTGTAGTCCTAGCACTTTGGGAGGCCCAGGTGGGAGGATCACTTGAGCCTGGGAGTTTGAGACCAGCCTAGACAACATAGTGAGACCCTATCTATACAAAAAAAAAATTTTTTTTAATTAGCCAGGTGTGGTGGTTTGTGCCTGTAGTCCTAGCTACTCGGGAGGCTGAGGTGGGAGGATTGGTGCTTGAGCCTAGGAGGTTGAGGCTGCAGTGAGCCGTGATTACACCACTGCACTCCAGCCTGGGTGACAGAGCAAGACCTTGTCTCACCAAAAAAAAAAAAAAAAAAAAAAAAACCCAGAAATTAAAAACACTGAAATTAAAATTAATTGAATTAATTGAAAACCCAGAAATTAAAAACACATTAAACCTGTCATCTCAGCTGGGCATGGGGGTTCACACCTGTAGTCTTAGCACTTTGGGAGTCTGAAGCAGGAGGATCGCTTGAGACCAGGAGCTCAAGACCAGCCTGGCAACATAGCAAGACACCACCACACACACATACACACACACACACACACACACACACACACACACACAGAGAAAGAAAAAAAAAAACGTAATCTCTGGAGCTGTCCTCAGTGTCGGGGGGGCGGCCCTGTCTGTTCCCATTCAGCACTTGCTGTTTTGACTCTCTGGGTTCTCTGTGCAGGTCCTGATGGGGAGTCTCTGATTTGCCATTCTTTGTTTTATTTAACTTTCTATAATCATAAAGCCAATGATGGACTCTTTTTTTTTTTTGAGACAGAGTTTCACTCTGTCGCCCAGGCTAGAGTGCAGTGGCACGATCTCTGTTCACTGCAAGCTCCGCCTTCTGGGTTCACGCCATTCTCCTGCCTCAGCCTCCCTAGTAGCTGGGACTACAGGCGTCCCCCACCGCGCCCGGCTAATTTTTATATTTTTAGTAGAGAAGGGGTTTCGCCATGTTGGCCAGGCTGGCCTTGAACTCCTGACCTCAGGTGATCCACCTGCTTCAGCCTCCCAAAGTGCTGGGATTATAGGCATGAGCCACTGTGCCTGGCCTAATGATGGGCTCTTATAATGTGATCCTTTAGGGTTGGTGCCTTGCCCCAGTTGCTGTTGAAAAAACTGTTTTTGTCCAAATGGCATACACACAGAAACCTGCAAACTTCCCCCCGACTTTTTCCTAGGAATTCCTTCCAAGGGATTTCTTGGGATGGGGCAGAATGGGGCTTGGAAGAGGGAGTTCCAGCTAATTGACCGTTGCCTTTCTCCTTTGCTGGGGTCCTGAGTCTTGTTCCCGCTGTAGGAGTTGCTCACTTCCTGTCTGCCGCCTATCTCTCTTTCCACGTGTGCTTCAGTTGGGAGATCTGTTTATCAGCCCCTGCCACACGGCTCTTTGTTCCTTTTGCAGAGGACATTGGGGTCCCACGGCTGGTCCTTTTGACTCATTTTGCTTTCACAGTCTCACCTCCCAGTCTGAGGCCGCATCCTCCATTACCATCACCCTTCCTGTGGGCTGGGAGGCCAGGTCCTTTCCTGCCCAGCAATGTCAGCCTTTCCTCAGGGGCCAAGGCACTCATCAGGAGAAAGGAACTAATTACTTGAGTAATTTGTCTGCCTTGCTGAGAGGAGTATGCCCTGAGGGACTCCGTGTGAGTGTAGTGACGGGTGTGGCGGTGTCCCTGTGTTATTATAAAATGGGTGCCTTCAGGAAGATGAGCATGTGACCATTTCCTCTCTATTTCCATCATAAGAGTATTATGGTATGAGAGTCTCAAGGTTAGATTATCGTCCCCTCTTCTCTCTTCCTTCTCTACTGGAAGCCCACACAGCATTTCCTTATGGCTTGACGGAGAGTTTCGGAGCCACTCACAAATTAGATAAAGTATGTTTACAGCCTTGTACACAGCCACACATGAAGCCATTTTTCTCCGCTTTTTTTTTTTTTTGTTTTCTGAGACTGAGTCTCACTGTATCGCCCAGGCTGGAGTGCAGTGGTGTGATCTGGGTTCTTCGCGACCTCTGCCTCCCGGGTTCAAGAGATTCTCATGCCTCAGCCTCCTGAGTAGCTGGGATTACAGACATGTGCCACCATGCCTGGCTGATTTTTGGATTTTTAGTAGAGACAGGGCTTCACCTGCTGGCCAGGCTGGTCTCAAACTCCTGACCTCAAGTGACCTTCCCACCTGGGCCTCCCCAAGTGCTGGGATTATAGGCGTGAGCCACGGTGCCCGGCCTTGTTTTTGTTTTTGTTTTGTTTTAACAGTCTCACTCTGTTTCCCAGGCTGGAGCGCAGTGTTGCGATCTCACCTTACTGCAGCCTCTGCCTCCCAGGTTCCAGTGATTCTCCTGCCTCAGCCTCCCGAGTAGCTGGGATTACAGACATGCCACCACGCCCAACTACTTTTTGTATTTTCATTAAAGACAGGGTTTCGCCATGTTGGCAAGGCTGATCTTGAACTCCTGGCCTCAGGTGATCCACCTGCCTCAGCCTCCCAAAGTGCAGGGATTACAGACGTTAGCCACTGTGCCCGGCCTCAGCTATCTTGATTGCTGGAAAATTAAATCCTTTTCTGTCTAGGGTGTCAGCTCCCTAAGGGCTGGGCCAAAACGGTTGCATTTATAAGACACTGGAGCCCAGCCTTAGTAGCTCCTTTGAATTCTGCACTGAATTGTTCAGTTTCTTGGCCCAAAGTAAACTCAGATGGCGGCCCAAGAGCCACTCTGCAGTGCCCTCTTTCACATGGTCATCATGCTTTCTGATCCCTCAGGTTCTCTCTAAGCCTCATGTTTTATGACTGTGCTGTTCTCAGCCCACCCCACCCTGCCCCATGCCTTCTCAATGGTTTGTTCATCTGAATTCCCCAGATTTCATGTCAGTATCTCCAAGGTTCCTTGACCTCTTGGTGTAAGCATTCAGCATCTAAAATTCATTTTATTCCCGTCATTGCATTTCTAACTGTAGAACAAGAATTATAAATGACAAAGCTCATAGAAAATTGGAACCTTTTCTTCCCCCTCCCTCTTATTTTATACATAAAAGAGAACATGGGCTGGGCGTTGTGGCCAAGGCTGGGACATGATAGCTCATACCTGTAATCCTAGCACTTTGGTAGGCTGAGGTGGACGGATCACTTGAGGTCAGGAGTTTGAGACCAGCATGGCCAACATGGAGAAACCTCGTCTCTACTAAAAATACAATAATTAAGCCGGGCGTGGTGGCTCATGCCTGTAATCCCAGCACTTTGGGAGGGTGAGGCGGACGGATCACCTGAGGTCAGGAGTTCAAGACCAGCCTGGTCAACATGGTGAAACCTCGTCTCTACCAAAATTACAAAAAAAAA